AGACCTTCTGTTGACTGCCCACCTGCAGAATGACAGTCTTGCACGACCGGAGCGCCGACTCTTGAAGATTCCGGCATATCTGACTGAGGACATTGTCCCGCGCCCCGCAGTCTACAATCACCACCTTTGATGGCTGTAGACCCTCGATCCACTCAGTTGCTTGGTCGATTTCCGTATATGCCAATGTCTTGGACACAGCCCCCCAGCCTTTGCTATCTGCCACCTCCTGCAACGCACCAGGCGACGAAGTGACCTGTACCAAACCCAGGGGTCCACTTTCCCTGGGCCGGTCGAAAAGACACCACGAAAACGACCGCGCAACCTTGGTCGACGCGCCCAAAACCACTACGACAGCAGACGAGAGATCCGCATCGTCCGCAGACCAGGGGAGTTGACTCACCGCGCCAAGCGGATGAACTGGTTCTCGTGCGCGCGGGTCAGGAGAAAACACATACTCACTGAGCAGGTAACCGGCGACCCACACCCCTCGAAAAACCGTCCCCCACGCCCTCTCCTCCAGCGCTTTTTCCTCATCGGGGAGTACCCGCTCATAGCGATTGTATATAGGCATCAGCTGTTGTCTGTGGCTGCTAACCTCCACCCAGTGGCCTTCAGGATCACTGCGTTCCAAGCGCAGGAGAGCGGGCGACGTGCCGGTAGGCCAGTATCCCCAGATAAGGGAATCCGGGGCGATTCCAGGGACATTGCTCTCGGCGACGGTGGCGTATCCCCACGCGGGGACGATTCCCCACGAGGACTGATCGTTGTATGGAGCCGGCGCGGTGGGTGGGACCGGGTACGTTTTCCACCTGTGGCTGTCAGTGACAAAATGGAGATCTAAAGCCAGGCCGCATACCAATGCAGTAGATCTCCTCCACGGGCGTAACTGAGGTTGTTGGAAGTCAATCCTAGAAGGACCGGTCGCGCCCGGAGCGACGAGGAAGGCAGGTTGTCGTCTCCAGATGAAGGGATTTCCATCACAGCGTGTTGGCGGTTGTCGGCCTTGCAGACAACGTGGATCATCTCTGGGGTTGTAGCAGGGGATTCCATCCTGATGGCTGTGATGAAAGGAAATGAAAGAGTGAGAAAAGGTTGTAGGACTGAAGCAGGTGGCCTCTTCTTGTCTATTAATCATCATTTCTTCGTGCTTCCTTTGTCTGCCCCTCCTTTGAGTCGCTGGGGAGACGGCCGACAATCTCCGTGGGTGCATAATGGAGAGTGGAGAGTGGACGTTCCAGACATGCAGGCATTCGGGCGTAAGATTTTAGTTGACTGACGTTTAGATAGCGGCCATGTGTATGTCATTCATGGAAGTATCGAATATCTGACTTAACGTCCAAGTTTTCGGTCTAGAGTCTATGATCCCGGTCTCTTTCTATTAACTATCCTCCATGCCGCAGCAAACTCTCAAACCCATCGTGCTCCTCTTCCCACTTCTGCAAGGCGACATTCACCCCAGCCACAAGATGATGCCAATACCCATTTTCCTCCTCAATCGCATCCAACGCACCAGACAAAAACCTCAGCGAATCCGCGACACCATCCGCCGTCAGATCCGTCGCCGCGCGCAACTCCCGCCACAGCGCCCTCATGCTCATCACCAACGGCCACCCAATAAATGTCCGCTGCAGAGCAAGCATATCCCCATCCCTCCGGACAACCGGATAATTCATCCGAATAGTACTGGCAATTTTGAGCGCACCCGCCGTACATCTCCGTCGCGACTCGGCGACTACAGACGGGGGTAAGTCCTGCCGCTCAGCCTGGTCGATGGCTGCTTCTTGCAGGTACAGATCCACGGCGCAGAGGTTGACGAGTAAGCTGAAGGCGGCAGGGTCCTCGCGCGAGGCTTTCGCGCTAAGGTGTGCTTGAAGGCCGGCCATGCGGTCGCTGATTGCCTGGCTGAGGGCGTAATGGCGGTCCCAGAAGCCTGACCCGGGAGGCGGCGAGTCCGCTTCTGTGGTGGTGCTCTGCATGACGTGTCGCATGCACTGTCTGGCGAGTGTGGCCATCAGCACGAGTCCGCTGTAGGATGTGATGTGTGTGGCGGGTGTGAGATTGACGTTCTCGGTTAGGAGCGGCATATGCGTGTCTTCGAAGTCGGGGCCTAGTTCGCCGGGGGAAGCGAGATTTACTTGGACCTAGATGGTCAGTTGGTTCTTTGCCTGGTTGGATGGGGGGAGAAAAAGAAAAAAAAAAGATAGAAAGAAGGCAAAGACGTACTTGGGGCAGATCGATGTGGCATGGTATGCCGGCTCGCATACTTGTGTAGGTTTCCAGGATATACAACGCCCAGAATGCCCGTCGTCGTTCCTCGAGATCACCCTGCTCTTGTGTCGTTGGCAACGCTACATGAAAGCCCCAGCTACTGCGGCAAGTCGAAGCCGGGCGATCGAGGTGGTTCAGATCCAGCACTTGTGCCAGTCGGATTGCACGACCGAGGGTCATCCAGGCGCTTGTAAGCTGTCGGACATCGAGTTCATATCGAAGGATAAAGACTAAACTCTGAAAGAGATTCAAGTCGGCATGATGCTCATTCTGCTCACACAGCTCGGCATACTGGCGCGCGAGATGGTAACATTGATGCTGTATCGCACGATCCTGTACGACAGCCACCATCGAGCCCATCAGTGCCACCGCGTAGCTTAGGCATTTTGTCGGGGGATGGTTGGGATCCCGAGCAATCTCAGAGAAGAATCGTTGCTGGTTGAGGATCGGCAAGGTTGGATAGAAGATCTCGAAGTAATTGCGATACCTGAGAGGTCCATCAGCCATCTGTGTCCGCAGTGATTTTCCTCCGGAGGAAAATATACAGGGCGATCAGATCGGGAGGCTGCTCAGCATCGTCCGGTACTCTCGCATGAGAACTAGGCTTGCTGGAGAGTCCAATCTCCTCTGTGGCAGCCGGGGTCTGCAGCTCAGGAAGCCCGAGGAATTCTAACGATGTGCTAGAACGGGAGATGTCAGAACTCAGATAACCTTGAATCGACCAAGCAATGATTTTCCCCGCGGATACTAACCACCAGGGGTCTTGGTTCCCACACTCGTCCGGAGCATCCTGAAAGACCACGTCGGGCATCGCAGGCAACTCTGGCTCTGAAAATGGTCGGCATGGGGCGTGAGATAGCCAAGAGTATCCGGCGACTGGGACTGCACCAGGCAGAGCCAGGAGCGCTTCTGCTTTGCCTGTAGCAAATGGTCAGTCCCGCGCCCTGAGTCTATCTGAACTGCTGGGAGACTAACTCAATCGTTCCTGCAATTCAGACAGCCGCCGGGGCAAATCTGAATCCATCGCGGGACGGTAGCTCTTGCGGCCATAGTAGCTGCAGCGATGGCCCAGGCGAGCACAGCGTCCGCAGCGAGGATCCGCCCGGTCGCAGCGGACTTTACGCTCTCGACACACGTCACAAGCCAGTCGACCTTTGGGCCCGCCTCTAGACGATTCGAGTTCGTTGGTGTTGGATTGCGGGGAGGCAGCAGATGGCAACTCCGACATAGTACTGGAGGATCTGGAAGGGCTGAGGTAGGACATCTGCTCCGTGTCTAATGATCATCTACATATACATAGTCAGTAATCCCAGTCAGCACGGGTGAAGATGTTGGAAATGTCTGCTATATGTATTTCGTTCTTATCTACCCTGATCCGGCCCCACGACTAGCAATACGGTATCCTTGTCTAGATAGCGGCGAAGTAGGCTGTGTTGCTTACTTGCGCTGGGACGACTCTGCAACTAGGTAGAAGGTCGGTCAGACTTGGACGCTTGGACCGTTGACTGGGGCATGATTGCGATTTATATTGGCTTCTCCATACTCACAGGGCGGCGCGGGGCTGAGGTGAGGTGAGTCAGACAATCTCGTCGAATTACTCGTATACTGAGGACCCCAATCCCCATCCCCATCCCAATCCCAACCCCTCAACCCAGGAAACACCGTCGCTTACCGGTGACATTAGCAAGCGAAGCAGATCATACAGGAGATGAGGAATATGAGGGCTAGACCCTGCCTTCAGCCATGATAGGGTCAGCAAGAATGCTGCCAAGCTGGGGGGCCTGAAGATAGATACGAGTTTCCGTCAGGGGTTTGAATACACAATTGACCAATTGGACAAGAGCCGGATGAGTAGTATTAAGCTGAGTCAAGTAAGAATCGAGGACCTGAGGAAGTCAGTCGGGACGCGTAACCTTGAAGATAATGCATGCAAGCAGCCACCTATCAAGCAGTCAGAAACGCTCCGACGTTGACGGGAGGCGTGGCTTTGTTAATACAGAGTGCCAACAGTGACACTCCAACGGTGCCAATGGAGCAGGCATCATTATTACCTTGTTTCAGGGCAGTCTCAATCTAGATTTTGGCTTGGTAAGTGTTAGCAAACTCTCTCGTATCCGAGGTCTCCAGGTCATACTCGTCATTTGTTTCACACAGCTTGCAAGGAGGGATGTTAGCCCCTAAGAGAAGTCCTTGAGCTTTTCCAGTTGGCACGTTGTCCCCTCAGTATTCCAGTACTAATGGAGTAGAGTATTCCTAGGAGCAACCCTGACCTTTGCCGCCCTTGTCGCTGCATATGTCAGTGGTGGACTCCATGGATGAGACTGGTTGCAAGATATATGATCAGCATCAACATTGAACTGGGAGAAGAACAGCGATCTTGATAAATGAAGGGGATGCTATAAAGGAGTTTATGGAGACCTATCATTCATTCTATCACATTTTTGTCACCACTCCCTCACCCGGGCCTGGTTGATCAAGTACATGGACAAGACTGTCAAGAACAATATTGCTCAAAATGTCGGCCCCCTACTCGGAACTCCAGGGTTTAACCTGCGAACCGATCCTGGAAAAGGTTTATAAACAAGTGGGTTCAACAAAAGCAAATCTTATTCTAGTTGTATATATAAACTCTAATGTATATCTCTCTAGCACCTACAGTAGCGAGCTTTCTTTTGTTTTATATTCATTCAGGTTGCACTTAGTTTCATTAGTAAGTAAAATACGCTAACCAAGGCCGGGTGGCCTAGTGGTAAGGCGCCAGTTTTCGGGTAAACTCTATCAGGGCTACTCTTTCAACCACTGGAGATCGCGGGTTCGAATCCCGTCTCGGTCGTTTTTTTTTTGACTTAAAGTCGAAATTCTTTTCATCTTTTTCAAAAGCCTGCAAAAATAGGCCACCCCGCCAAATTTAGTTTATACTAATTCTATTAAATTATTTGGCTCTCCCTGGCTAGAGTGAAGGTTCCACAAACATCCATACCGTAGGGCTGACTGACCGATGACACCCGCTGACCTAAAGAGCAACAACCTAGGTTCCCACTCAGGACTCTGTTGTGCCGGACATAGACTGACCATGCCAGTCTGTGCTCCTTCCTATCCAGGTGAATTAATTGCCTGACCTCGCTGCGGCTGTCGAGGAGAAGGATAGCAGCAAATAACTGAGAATCAGTCTCCTCTTGTTGAGGTTAAGTTCTCTGATGTGCGAAGGCAATCATCGGATTTACCAAGACAAGGCAAACCCGGAAATATAAAAGTGGACCAGGGTCTTAATCATGGGAAGCAGAAAGTTCTCCCACTTAGGTTCACCTGATCTCTGTAACGTGCATTTACGCTCATCAACTGACTATGATCCAGAACGATACTGGATAATCATCCACTCAAAACTGCTCCCAATTATCCAGAGCCGTCCACAGCCGGAAAAGCAGAGAGAATCATTGCCTATGGATATCAATGCTGATTCTCTGCTATACTAACCCTCGAAGCAGATGTGGAGGACGCAAAGTCTCACTATAATTTTTCTATCCTGTCTGCCATCATTCACTGCGGTAGCAGAAGCATTGGCCCGTGTGCCTTGGAATAAGAGATTGGACATAAGCCATATCCACAGTCGCCTTGAGAAGACATCCCAAAAGGAATATATTATCCGGATCCATTCCCGGCCTAAACTCGAAGCTCGATTACACACTGTCACTGGACCATAGGCAGTTTGGTAAGAATTATGGACAGTTGAGAGCGTCTTCAAGTGTGGTTAGATTCATCTGCCAGGCGGACGTGCATTGAAGGACCTGTTAATGTCAACTAAGTTCTATCCCCTGAATCATTACCTGCCCCGGCATCCAGGTTCTGTCTTGTGCAGTCTGAGTGGAAGACACCTGCAGGAGTATACATATATTCTGGCTCTACATGTTGGTCAAAGCATTTGCCTCATGGGGCGTATATGGGTCTCATACTATATATATTCCCTAACAAGAGATTCCGGAAGAGTCCCTCCTGAATACACCTTTCTTCGAACCATTGGATACATATTCTACCGTACTGTGAGAATCTCTATAATGGGTGTTTAAAACGCACCTAGCAATTATATCGTCATTCCATTTCAGTGTTATTACTTCTAATACTGGATACTAGAAAGTAGCTTAGATGGGAGACCCAGTAAGTACTATCCACTTACCCGTGGACTAAGTAACGACCTGAGTTATAGGTCTTCGTGAGCGCAAGTATGGCTATGTTTATACTTAGCATCTGACAGTGATCAGACGGTCCAAAACTCTTAATGTAATGCTAGATCAAGTGAATTGCATGCTTCAGTCTGTAATCTGTACCTTCTCATACAGTGTTGGTGAGGCGGAGATGTAGTGTCACTAAGCCAAGCAAAAGCATATATTATAAGTGTATACAAAGTATCGTACAGGCTGTCAAACATAAAGCCAATACACCTGGAGCCTCAGAACCTTTCTAGACATATCGTCCTTGTCCACATCTCCTCAAGTCTTCTTTTTGGCGGCCGCCTTTGCCTTAGCGGCCTTCTTCTTGTTGCTGTTGATCATAACGATGCCTATAAATGTACCGACGACGGCCGAGCCCAGGAGTGTAAGGAAGACGGGAATGCGGATCGCCCATACGCGAGGAAGGAAGAAAGCATGGAGGGGATGGCCAGGGTCGACAAATGGCTAACCAAGGTTAGCGGCTGCAACAGAGAGTCCACTTTATTGAGAGAGTACGTACCATGAGAAGTGTCCACGCCGTGTAGTAGAGGAAGATCGCAGTAGCGGCCAAAAGCATGGCGGATCCCACTAGTTGGCCGAGCTGGAACCATAGTTAGCAAGATAAATTGTAATAATTGCGGTCAATCAATCAAGAGCGAGAAGAATTCCTCACCATAGTGACAGTGAATCTGAGATCAAACCGAGCAATGAGTTCCTGGAAGTTGGCCTCCTCGTTGTATACGCGACAAGGAGAGGGCCAGCCTGGCGCGGAGGCTCACGTGACCCTTGGTCGCGCTAAGAGTTCTCCTTCGCCGCCTCCCAATAATCCTTGTCCGAAAGAGCTTCATAAGCTCAATCCCATCCACCGTTTTCCCCTTCACATTTTTTTTTCGCGGCGTGCGAGGAAAATGTCGGATCCGGTTGTCCTACAGTCGGCGGTGCGAGTGCCTACACCTCCCCCAGGCGCTTCTTACTCTCCCCAGCCATCCGGTTCACGAAAGCGGTCGCCTCCCTCTCGTTCACCTTCACCGAATCGACGACGGTCGCCACCTGGCGACTCGCTGGGACCCGATGGCGATGTGCCGCGTATCGATCCCGAGCGTGCGATCGAGCGGGAACGTCAGCTAGCGGAGCGGGTACGCGAACATGAGAAACAGGAGGCAGCGCGAAAACCGATGACGGAGGAAGAGAAACAGGCTGCGGCCAAAGCGGAGTACGAGAAACTCCTCAATATGCGCTCTGGCGGTACATATATCCCTCCGGCTCGACTCCGTGCTCTACAGGCGCAGATCACAGATAAGACCAGCAAAGAATACCAGCGGATGGCTTGGGAGGCTTTGAAGAAGTCGATCAACGGTCTGATCAACAAGGTCAACGTATCGAACATCAAGTTCATCGTCCCAGAGCTATTTGGCGAGAACCTTGTGCGTGGCCGTGGTCTGTTTTGCAGGAGTATTATGAAGGCTCAAGCAGCAAGTTTGCCATTTACACCGATCTATGCTGCCATGGCCGCAATCGTCAACACCAAGCTCCCACAGGTGGGAGAGCTGCTTCTAAGCCGCTTGATCGTCCAATTCCGAAAGGCTTTCAAGAGAAACGACAAGGCAGTGTGCATATCCTCCACCACATTCATTGCTCATCTGTGTAACCAGCAAGTCGTCCACGAAATGCTTGCAGCACAGATTCTGCTTCTTTTACTCCACAAGCCTACGGACGATAGTGTCGAAATTGCAGTGGGACTAACCCGGGAGGTGGGCCAACACTTGGAGGAAATGAGTGGTCCTATTGCCCTGGCAGTGTTCGACCAGTTCCGAAATATCCTTCACGAGGCCGACATTGACAAGCGCGTGCAATATATGATTGAAGTACTCTTTCAGGTGCGAAAGGATCGATACAAGGATAATCCGGCGATCAAGGAAGAGCTGGACTTGGTAGAGGAGGAGGATCAAATAACCCACCGGATTGGGTTGGACGACGAGATCGAGACTCAGGACAGTCTTAACATCTTCAAGTATGACCCACAGTGGGAGGAGCACGAGGAGGCCTACAAGAAGTTGAAGGCCGAAATCCTAGGAGAAGGGAGCGAAGATGAGGATGAGAGCGATGAAGGTGACGAGAGTTCAGACGAGGAGTCTGAAGAGGAGCGGCAGATGGACATCAAGGACCAAAGCAATACGGACCTGGTGAATCTGCGCCGAACGATATACTTGACTATCATGTCCAGTATCGACTTTGAAGAATGCTGCCACAAGCTGATGAAGATTTCACTGCCAGCCGGACTGGAGCCTGAGCTTCCGTCGATGATTATCGAGTGTTGCGCTCAGGAACGAACATTCTCCAAATTCTATGGCCTCATCGGTGAGAGGTTTGCGAAGATCAACCGGCTCTGGACGGATCTCTTTGAAGAGTCATTCAAAAAGTACTACGACACTATCCATCGGTATGAGACGAACAAACTGCGCAACATTGCCCGTTTCTTCGGGCACATGATCAGCAACGACGCAATTGGTTGGCATGTTCTATCCATCATCCACCTGAATGAGGAGGAGACGACATCAAGCAGTCGTATCTTCATCAAGATCCTTTTCCAGGACCTCGCGGAGCACCTTGGTATACCGAAGCTCCGCGAGCGCACGCAGGACGAAGTTCTACGCCCATTCTTCGATGGGCTATTCCCGTTGGACAACCCACGCAACACCCGTTTCTCCATCAACTACTTCACCAGCATCGGTTTTGGTGCTTTGACAGAAGAGATGCGCGAGCATCTGAAGAACATGCCCAAGCCCACGGTCCCTGCGTTGCCGCCTGCTCGGGGGGCGGATTCGGACTCGGAATCCGTCAGCACACGCTCCTCTTATTCCTCACGCTCTTATTCCTCTCGTTCTCGCTCATACACACGCTCCCCGTCTTACTCTCGCTCGCCTTCTCGTAGCCGTGGCCGCCGACGGTCCGTCAGCCGAGGCAGGTCCTACTCGCGGTCCCTATCAGGGTCCCGTCGCAGCTACACCCCAAGCTCCTACACCGCTTCGCGTTCTAGATCGCCCGTCTCCCGCCGCCGCCGTTCAATTTCGTACAGTCGCTCGCGGTCACGGTCTTACTCCCGGTCCCGCAGCCCTCCTCGCCGGACCGGCCGTGGTCGCCTAGACTCTCGGTCTCCGCCTCGCCGTAGCCGCAGTCGCAGTCGCAGCCGCAGCTTCTCCCGATCCGTCAGCCCACCTCAACGGGCACGCGGTGGGAGAGGCGGGAGCTACTCACGATCACCATCCCGATCTGTTTCGCCACCACCGCGTCGAGCAATCGCAGGACGCAGACGATACTCGGAGTCACTGTCGCCTCCTCCTCCTCGACGAATCGACAGAAGCATTTCCAGATCCAGATCCCGCTCGCGCCGGCCACCACCCCCAAGCCGCCGAGGCCGGAACTACTCCGTCTCCCGTTCACCCAGCCCGCCGCGGTATCAGCGACGGAGACGGAACACGAGTTCAGTATCGGCATCTCCTCCACCGCGTCGGCGGAATTCATCCTCGTCCCCGCCTCGTCGATAGGCTTTGGCCAATCCTGCAAGTAAATTGATAAGGGAGGTTCCGTTGTTACTTGATGATGTATTTTAGCAGCATAACTCGGTACC